AGAGAAGAGGCAAGCCACCAGGGCTGGGACTTGAACCATGGTCAGCCATATGAGAGTCCAGTGCCTTTAACTACTGTGCCACCTGCTGGCCTCAGAATGGTCTATATTCTAGGTGAATTTAAGTTTATGATAGCATTTTAAAATAAGAATGAACAGAATTAGGTCAATTTATCCAAGGGAATTTCTCTAACAAAATGAGTTAAGAGTATGTGAAAAGCACTGAGACTTAACAGAATAATTTGATGGGAAAACAAAACAAAAACCTCTATTAACCTGGATGTAAAGTAATAGCCATTTTACATGAAAGACTCGAATTCTAATTGCATTCCTTTGGTACAATTAGAATCTCTGTAACGGACTGTAGTAACGGATTTATTAGCATTCCTCTATGTGTACATGTGTACACCGATTTGTAAACATACAAATGAAACATGCCCAAGCTTTTTAAAAATTGTGGTAACACTTAACATGAGATTTATCTGCTTAAGTTTTTTTTTTTTTTTTTTTAATTTGCTATAGGGCACTTGTACTCACCAAAGAGAAACAGAGAAAAAGAAGAGAAAGTGAGACACAACACCCCCTAGAAGGTATGACCACACCACAGTTCTTTGCCCTCCATTCTCCTTGCGGGATTTTGGGCACAGACATACATGTATCCAGTGTCTTCTTCAAACCACCAGGTCCAGGACTCAAACCATGCAGTCAGCAATGTGGGATCCAGCCCCTTAGGCACCATACCACCTGCCTGGGCCCAATCTTCTTAAAATTGTAATGCACAGTGCAGTATTGGTAACTGTAAGTGCAGTGTTGTACGACCGATCTCTGGGACATACTCATCTTGTATGACTGAAACCTTGTACCCATTGAATAGCAAATCCCCCCTTCTCCACCCCGTCCCAGCCACCACCATTCTACTTCCGATTTCTGTTAGTTTGCCTATTCTAAATGCTACATATAGGGACCAGCAGGTGGTGTGGTGGTTAAGGTGCTGGACACTCCCACTTCTAGGTGCTGGTTCGAGTCCCGGATCTGGTGGCTTGCTTTCTCACTTTCCCCCTCTCTCTCTGGTCAAATTAAAATAAATGGATAAATAAATAAAATTAAATAAATAATTCTTTTTAAAAAATAAATACTATACATAAATGGATCTAAGATTTTTTTTTAATTATTGAACTTTATTATTTGTTTGTTTATTTATTTATTTATTTATTTAAATTTGACCAGGTAGGGACAGAGAGAGAGAAAGGGGAGAGTGAGAAAGCAAGCCGCCCAGTCCGGGACTCAAACCATGGCTGGCCATATGGGAGTCCAGCACCCTTAACCACCACACCACCTGCCAGCCCCAGATCTAAGATTTTTTTAACTGCCAAAGGGCACATGTACTTGCCAGAGAGAGACAGAGAAGAAGGGGGAAGAAGAAAGGGTCCCTCCTCAGTGGGGTACGGTCACATTGCAATTCCTTCTCCATTTCTCCATCCTGTGGGATCTGGAACATACACACACACCCGGTGTGTTTTTCAAGCCCCCATGCTGGGATTAGAGCTATAGTCCACCACATGAGATCCATCTTCCTTTAACCACACGGCTACAGGGCAGGCCTCCTCATAATAATGGAATCATGCTGTTCTTCTGTGACCAGCTCATTTCACTTAGCATAACGTCCTCAAGGATTGCCTATGTTGTCTCATATTCTAAAAGATTTTTTTTTTTTTTGTAGAGGTTTTCGCTATAGGGCGCGTGCGCTCGCCAGACAGAGAGAGACAGAGAGACAGAAAGTGAGAAATCACCCCCCAGGGGGGATGGTCACGCCGCAATCCCTTCTCCTCCATTCTCCTCTCGGGATCTTGGGCACGCACGCACACGCGCCCGGCGTGAGTTCTAAGCCACCGGGTCCAGGACACGAACCACGGTCAACTACGTGGGAGTCCAGCGACATAGCCATTACGCTAACTGCTGGTTCCCCAAAAGAATTTTCTTTTCTGTTTTTTTTTTTTAGGGCTGACTAGTATTCCAGTCCATACGTGTGCATGTACCACATTTTTAATCCATTCACCTGGCAGACATTCCTGTCGTTTCCATGTCTTGGCTGTCATTATTATGAAAAACGCTGCAGTGAACAAAGAAGCATTAATATCTCTTTGTGATCCCGAGTTCAGTTCCTGGGATTGTGGGAATATATGGCAGCTCTGTTTTTAATTTTTCAAGGCATCTCCACACTGTTTTCCATAGTGGCTGCACCACTTGGAAAACATTTCACATTCTCACTAGCTGCGTACAAGAGTTCCATTTCCCCTCCACAGCATTTGTCATCTTTGGGTTTGGTTTTTTTTTTGACAGGTGCCATCCTAACAGGTGTGGGGTGATATGACAGTGGTTCTGATTTGCTTTCCCCTTATGTTAGAGGATGTTGAGCTTCCTTCTGTACACCCACTGTCCGTTTGTATGTCTTCACTGGAGAAATGTCTATTCCAGTTCTTTGCAAGGACGTTTCAACCTACGTAAATCAATTAATGTGATATACCACATTAATAGAATGAAGTATACAAATTACATGATCATTTCAATAGCAGTGGAAAAAGCATTTGACAAAATGCAGTGCATTTTCAGGATAAAAACTCTTAACAAACCAGGGATAGAATTTACTTCAACATAATAAATGCCGTGTATGACAAGCCCACGGCCAACATCATACTCAGTGGTGAAAAACTGAAAGCTTTTCTTCTAAGATCAGAAACAAAGCAAAGCATGCTGCTCTCACCACTTCCATTCAACATAGAACTGGAAGAGCAATTAAGCCGGGAAAAGAAATAAAAGGCACACAAATCGGAAAGAAAGAAGTAATATTCTGTTAGCAGGTGACATCTTTTTTTAGGGGGGGTGGGTATATTTGCCATAGGATGCATGCGCTTGCCAGAGACAGAGGGAAAGCGAGAAATCACCCTCTGGGGAAATGGCCCATGCTCCAATTCCTTCCCCTCCATTCTCCTCTCAGGATTTTGGAAACACGTGTACGAGTACCTGTCATGATTTTCAAGCCACCAGGTCCGGGGCTTGAACCAGAGCCAGCCATGTGGGAGTCCAGCAACTTAGCCACTACACCAGCTGCTGGCCCCTATATAATCTTATATGTAGAAAATCCAGATTGGCTCTGTGGCCTGGTGATTAAGGCACCTAGATCCCACAGCCAACCCCACAGTTCAAGTCTCGGACATAGTGGCATGGGAAACACACTGGGCGCGTGTGAGTGCATGTCCAAAATTCCAAAGGGAGGAAAAGAGGAGAAAGGAGTATGGCATGACTATTCTCCTGGGAAGGGGGTGTTTTCCCCTTTCCCTCCTTCTCTGTTTTTTTCTGGTGAGCACGCATGCCCTCTAGCAAAATAAAAAGAAACAAAAAAGAAAATTCTAAGACTTCACACACATGCACACAAAAACTATTAGAACTAATAAACTAATTCAATAAAGTTTCAAAATGCAAAATTGGCATATGAAACATTAGTTTGTCTGATATACTAACAGCAAAGTATCCAAAAGAAAATTAATAAAACAAACCTATTTACAATAGCATCAAAAAGAATAAAATATTTTGGAAAAAACTTAACCAAGGACATTAAAGGCTTGTACATTCAAATTTATATAACCCTGATGAAAGAAATTAAAGGAGACGAATAAATGGAAAGACATTCCATGTTCATGGATTAGAAGATCTAATGTTGTTAAAATGTCCATACTATGGGCCAGCAGGTGGTGTGGAGGTTAAGGTGCTGAATCCCACATGGCTGGCTGTGCAGTTTGAGTCCCAGTGGCTTGAAAATCACACTGGGCAAGCATGCATGTCCACCCAAAATCCCAAGAGGATACTGGAGGAGAAGGGATTGCAGCATGGCCATTGCCCCGGGGAGGTGATTTCTCTTTCTCTCTCTTTCTCTCTCTTTCTCTCTCTTTCTCTCTGTCTTTCTCAGGTGGGTGTACACACTCTATAGCAAAAACTACCAAAAAAAAAAAAAAGTCCATACTATCCGAAGCGATCTTCAAATTCAATGTAATCCCCATGAAAATCACAATAACACACTTCCTGACTTCAAAATATATCACAAAGCTACAGTAATTAAAACAGTATGGTATTGGCATAAAGCAGAAACATCAGCTAATAGAACAGAACAGAGAGCCCAGAAATAAACCCATGCACCTATAGTCACTGGTTTTTGACAAGGATGCCAAGAATACACAATGGGGAGAGGACTGTCTCTTCAACAAATGGTGCTGGAAAAGTGGACTGTTACACCATACACAAAAATCAACTCACAATGTATTGAAGATTTAAATGACCTGAGTCTATACAACTCCTAGAAGAAAACAAGTACTTGATCTCGAACTTCCCAAGCTCCAGAACTGTGAGAAACAAATTGCTGCTGGTTATAAACTGCCCACTCTACGGTGTTCTGTGATAACAGCCTGAGCAAACTTGGACATGCCCTCAACCCAGATCTGAGGAATGTAATAGTAGGACTCTTACACCTGTCAGATCCAAGTCTTTGGGGCCAAACCTCACCTTGAAAGAAAAAAAATAGAATTTTCCTGGAAGGGGATATTGTTCTCACTAACAACCAGAGAGAACTGCCATGGGCTGGAAGAGAGGGATGGGAAGGAATGGAGGGTGGAGGAAGAAACTCGGCCTTCCCGTTTGAGGGAGCCCCGATGTCCATGCTGGTAGTGGCAGAATTGGAATCTCCCGTTTGGGGTCTTCTAGGAGGCAGTGGGACTCTGAGCACAGTGTGTACCTGTGTCCCTCACATGAACCCCTCCAGGGACCCAACTGCCTTCTTTAGCTTAGCTCCCTGGTGTTGGGGAGACAAGTTCCCTCATCTATAAAATGGGGATAATAACTACCTACCTTTTAGTGTCTCTGCGAGGACTTTGTGAGGTGAAGCGGTTGGGGCCGCCTGGCACATAGCATTAGCTGTGAAGAAACTGATGCTGCTGCTTCTGCTGCTGAGTCCTCCCTCACCCTCCTGCCTGGAGGGAAGACAGTAACTGCTTCACACTTGCCATCAGCTGCAGGCTCTGAGGCGGAAAGCCAGTGGTCAAGGATGTCACCACGGAAGACCGCTATGCCCGGCTGGAGACCGTCACACCAGGGTCAGGGCAGTGCCCCTGGCAACTTTGTGCAATCCGGTACTTGGGTCAAAGAGAACTCCCGCGTTGGCGACACATGCATGCCCATGGGCCAGCCTCACTGAGACCAGGGGGATTGTGGGAAGACCCTGTTGGAGGTGCATCTCACTCGCTCTCTCCTTCTCTCCCTTCTCTCTTTCATGGAAGAAATAAATAAGTAAACATTTTAAAAAAGAGAGAGATGGGAACCAGCAGTTAGCGTAATGGCTATGTCGCTGGATTCCCACGTAGTCCACCATGGTTCACATCCCGGACCTAGTGGCTTAAAACTCACGCCGGGCGCGTGTGCATACGTGCCCAAGATCCCAAGAGGAGAATGGAGGAGAAGGGATTGCGGCGTGACCATCCCCTCTGGGGGGTGATTTCTCGCTTTCTGTCTCTAT